AACACATTATGACCCTTTATGAAGTATGGGTTTTGCAACAAAAAAGGTATATTTATTATCGAAAACGAAAAGAAAAAGTGTACGAACTTGTCTTGAATTCAAAGAAAGTTTCAGTAAGGAGTTTATGACTGTCGCAGTATTCCCTTACAATGGGAAATTAAAAATAAGAAGAGTGGGAAAAAATATTAAAATCAACTCAAAATACTATAAAAGAAAGTTTTACTTACGATATTTACAGAAGAAAATCGATTTCCTTATCCCAATGAATTGTGCCCTTAGTCACTTGAAAAAGGGTCTTCCTGACAGCAAATCCACCAGGCTTTGACGGATTCTGTAAAGTAGTGGGAAGGAATGGAAATCAATAACCCTGGAAAATTTACATAAAGCCCTTCTATTATGGAAATACCGATGCCGACTTCCAGTCCAGAAAAAAAGCTATCGGATCTAGCAATTAAAAATACGCTTTACATTCTAAACATCAATTAAACAGTCCGAAAATCTAATATGTGTAAGCAGACTCTCTATATGAACTGATTTCATTCGCAAAGCTCATTAATATTAAATTCCAATAAAAATTATTTATTTCCGTTGACACCGGTTGTAGGTATTCTTTATGTAGCTACGAGATGAAAAATTTCATATATTTCCTAAGAATAATTATTGCTAGAATATGCAATACTTCGTTAATTCAAAGTCGAATGAAACTAAGACGATTTTGGTCTTCTGTTGAGGTGGTCGTCTTAGAGAGATGTTCAGTATCGGTATTTACTAATGCCTTCAGAAACGCCGGTACTTTCAAAGATTGTCGCCACTAAAATACTTACTATATACAATAACATGCTAACATAAATTTGAGAAAATACACGTATGGAAATAATTTATAGAGACACACAGTGTTTTATCGACAATAGTGTAATAAAGGGATTCAGTACATAAATACAGTTTCAAAGAGGAGAAAAAACCTCTTGTAATTTCCCCTCTTTGAAGCATTTTGGTTTTTTATTTATTTCATGTATTCGCTTATTTTTATGTACTTACTATCTGTGGTTTGCGAAGAGCTTAACGATCTTGCCTTTCACAACTTCTAATTAAATTTTTCAGAAAAATATTTCACAGCTACATCGACGTTGACTATTGCTTACTAACAAATCTGATGTCCACGTTTATTATTTAGTACATTTTTTGGCATCCATGTTTTGACTTTGCATATGGACTTTCACACAAAGCAAACTTTTTGACAACAATGTAACGAAGGAAAGATTCCCTTCCTTGGTATTTTTTAAGCAGTCTTCAAGATGGTCAAAGGACCAATGAAGTAAATATTTGTTGTTTTATTCACTACAGCAAAACGCACAAAAGATATCTATCTAAAGGGAGGGATATCTATCACATTATCAGATTCTGAATATTATTAATTCTCTTATCTGAATATTTCTGCTTAAACATGTAGAATAATTATTAAAAAATTGCAATTACGTAAATTTAGTGAAACAATTAAATTAGGACTACATAATTATGCTATTTTTATAAAATTTATTTTGTATTTATTGGCAACAGTATTGTATGCAACTAAATTTCTGTATTGGCGTTAAAAAACGTCGCAAGAAAAAAAGTTGCAGTATTTAATTAATCTGGCAACCCTATGAGCAGAGTGGAATTGCCCACAGAGACACTCTAATCTCTTCCACCTCAAAAAGATGGCGCATCTGTGGGGCGTCGTTCATCTTCCCCAAACGGCAAAGTAGGGGGTTCGACAGAAGAGCTTCTCTCTTCGGAAAGGGGGGTAGGGAGGGGCGAACCCATCCCTGATGTATGCGCCGAATATTTAATGTGCTCCCTGCTTGTGTATGCGTCGCCATGCTCCTTTGGGAAAGGAAAGGAAAAACAGCAATAAATCTCGATAACAGTTCATTCTTAGTTTTTACTCGAACAATTTATCAGTAGCTTAACGTGTTTAAATAGCTGTAAAAATATCAAAATCTATATAGGAACTGCACCTATCATAAATATAGAGCTGAAAGCAACATGGAAAATTGCACCTAAAAAAAACTTACCCGGTGATGTACTAGCGTTAAATTTACATCTGTCAGAAACAATTTTATACAGTATATCTATGATATATCATTTCTAAAAAATAATTGATTCTCTGAAAACCCAAAACAAAAGGCTTTTGAATAAGAATAAATTTTCCATACATCAGCTTACAAACTTAATAGCAAAATTCTTGAAATAACTATATTCTTGTACTAATCTTAGGAAGTCCTCCACGAAGGCATCCCTCCTTAAGCAGATAGCCCTTTGTATGCTTTGCTATAATTAAATAAACCTAAACCTTGTACGAATCAAGCACACTTTTGTAAATGCTGCAATATACAGTAAAATGAATTTGATATGACGGTATTTATATACTAATTTAAGAAACTATAGTAATAAACTTTCTTATTCGAGAGTACTTAGATCAGGAGTTTTCAACCAGGAAAGAATTTCATAGTTTCAGGGAAGAATGCGGTCATCTCTGTTTTTATTTACCTCTTGATTATTTAGTTTTAGTTTCTAAATATAAAAAAAAGCTACTTTGTATTAAAGTTCTGATATTTATCGACATATTCTATACTTTTACGTGTTCGGTTTATAAAATACATTAAAATATAATCTAAAATAAATATGTATATTAGAAAAACATGTAACGATTATCTGTGAAGTTTAGCAACAAAATTCAGCGTAATAATACAGAACCATCGGAACTAGATTTGCAAAAAATCTTCAAATATTACGCTGATTGTTGTTGTTTAACTTCTCCAAAACCAACTGGGTTAAAAATACGGCTGTGTAAAATTTTAAAATTAGATATGAAAGAAAATTAAGCTGAAGTAAATTTTGAACAAAAGCCGTTCGAACATAAGTCTCTCTGTTTCTGGACCATCTTCTTTATTTCACTTTTTTCTTAAATTGTTTCCAAACTGCGTGAAAAAGTGAATTCTGGAAAACTGAAATAGATTTAACTCTTGTATTTAAAATATACCTTGAATAATGCAGCTCAGATGTCTAATAGTTTTTTAATAAATATAATTTTTTTTTATTCCCAATGGCGGGCACTAGCCGTTATAGGCGTCAGCCATTACTAAGGCCGGAAGGCTGATGACATTATTATAGAAGCTCCTAAGCCTTCTCCAGGATTCGAGCCGGGAACCTTCGGTACAGCAGTCAGTAACTAACCACTCTCCCGTCTGGGCGGATTTTTTAAGAATATAATTTAACGTATATCTTTAAGGAAAATCTAAAAATAATCATTACACGGCAAACATTTGCCCAATCAGCATTGAAATGAATTTTATACAAGAAATATATATATATATATAAGCTAGAAAATAAATTTATATGAATTAAATTAAGTATGAACTTAATGTTTACCAAGCTATTCTTTTACAAAATTATACACATATAACTGAAGACTCTTTCAAGCTACATTATAAACTTGCTAGATGTTGATTTGTATTTCAATACTAAGTATAAGAGAAAAAAATGAAAGTGGCAAAATAAAAGAAAATGAAATTTCTAAAAAGTAGACATTCACGCATGTATACCATAAAATTAAAAAGAAATTTTACTTTCGCTTCAGAACCAAGATCGGTAGAAATCAGCTTATACCTACATACATAAATCTCATATGAACTAATTAATAAATAATTAACAAATTATTCATTATTACAAGTTAATAATCGAATTGAACATTAAAACGCAGTAAAGAGATTTCGTGTTTAATATTTATTGCTATGAATAAGGTTGCCCGCCAGCGGCCGAGCGGTAAAATCACTAAAACTCTGGTAGTAACCCAGACAGAATCTTTTACTTATTTAAAATAACTAATGACCTAAGAGCATATTAAATTCGCAAAATCTTGCCACGTTGCACTTCAGAATTAAAGAGTGCGATTCTTGACTTCGTAAGTGGATATCTTTTTCCGTATAAAGTGCTGCATACTTTTTACTTCATTTATAATTCTTATTTAGAAAAAGCTACTTAAAATTTAATAGCGTCTCATGATTTCTTGATCCGTAAAGATTTACTGTTCCGAATACAGTAACTACACGAAATTTAAAAAAAGGCATCTTTTCAATTCAACATTAATGGTAATGCTGTGAAGTCTGCCAGCGTCAAAGATTACTTTATTCTCTTTTTATATTATTAATACCTACCATTTAAACATGTCCAATATTTATTTTAATATCCTAGCATCAGATATAACCTTTACAATGAACCGAATATATTAAATTTTCATTTTCTTTGCACAAACATCATGACCGAGGGTAAAAAGGGGGAATGATGTTTTTGCAGAAACATCATGACCGAGGGATTTAACAAAATGATTAGTTTTCATATCTATTTAGAGTCTACGATACGGTTACTGAAAACGGGGGGGGGGAGGATATTAGTGATGTTTTCTTATCAGTATGTATCTGCTGCAAAAACAAAAATAGTTATAATTGTTTTATTTTATGTACTTTTCTTTCATGAACCCAATTTCTATGCATTTTATAACCTAATATAAAAACTGCATTGGTTAATTTCACGAGGTTATGTTTCCAATTACATATATACTTTAAATTTAGCACACAAACAAAAATGCTAATTTTGTTTGTGTGCTAAATTTAAAGTGTATATGTATGTTTCTGTAGTACACTTTTTCATTGACAAACAGATCGTAAGCACACTTGCATCAAGAACATTTAATTAGCAACTTAAAAACGAATCAACAACTAAACATCACTAATCACTGATAATCAAATTTACTTGCTGAATGGCTGAAAGGTAATTTCTGCGTGAAAATCATAGTAAACGGTAAGTATAAATACTGATGATAATTTGTCAAACATTATTACGCTCAAGTTTTGCCAAAGTATCAATGCCTAAGCTTCGTATACTGTATATTGATTTCAGAACTGTGTCTTACGCATTAAGTTCTTTCGATAATTTATACTTTATTGTTTTTGTTTTTATAGAAGGAAATAAGGCTTACCTGGCGAAGATGAAACACATGATTTCTCTTTATTGAAGCACAATACTGTCTTAGAAACCACTTGGTAAGAATTTTTTTTTTTTTTTTTTTTAAATACAATGTCAGACTTGTCTCTTATGTATTAGTATACGTATTTCTGTATCAGTATGTATCGATAATACAAAACTGATTTAGTGAAAAACATACACAATCCCACTTTGGAAAGCAGTTTCAAATAGTTGACAATACTTTTATACAGAGGAAGGTGATGCAGTTTTGTTTTAATGTGATTATATTACGAGAAAAAACATAATTAACAAATTAAATAAATAATGCTATGTAGAAGAAAACAAACACAGAAAGCATAGTCATACGGGAGGGGCGGAAGATCGGTTTCAGAGATGTGAAAACCCAATAAAACAGAATATCATTCCCAAATGATTAAATCTTTTAAATGAACACTTAACAGCTGTTTGTAACACATTACCAAGGAATCAGAAACCAAACAAAGGAATTAGAGACTAAAACTTACGAAAGGATATAATATTGATGTAGCTTCCCATTAAGGAATGCTATCACTTTACATCAAATGAATTAAGTTTATGCAATACTCCGTAAATAAATACATTCTCAGTCTGATTAAAATTGTTTTTCATTGCATTATCAATTCGACAGAAAATCTGCTTTAAAAAACTGCACACTTCTTAAATGTTTTAAAATTAACACTCTAAGTAATAGTTTAATTGTAAAGAAGATAAAAAAAGGGGGTATAGAGAAAGAGAAATGCTCAACTTTTAGCTTGCCTTTGATTGCGTAGTTAATATACTGTAGTGTTAGGATACTTTTAATTCATTAAATTTATATATAATGTGTTTTTAATGTCAAATCTAAATTGAAAAATATCTGTTTGTAAATTTTAACTATTTTTTCTTAAGTGGGAACATTTGCAAAGAATGCTTTTAGAAGTATGTCGTCTATACCCTTTTTAAATAATAATAATAATAATATAAAACAAAACCATACCGTGAAGCTGTTTATAGTCAAAATAACGCAGCTGAAGAAGTTTCTATTTAACCTTCAAAAACAGTCCTGAAAATTTATGCAACTTACGCTGATTCTTGTTGCTTTAGAATTTTCATCATTTGTTCTTCGGCTATTATTTTAATTAGAATACTGTATTGGTAATACTTGGAATGAAAATTCGTTTCATATTCGGAGCAGTGGCTCTAAATTCATTAGGTTTCTGCTTCCAATAAGAAATTTAACATTATTTATAGAATTTGCTATTGCATTTAGTAGTCCACTTAAGCTATATCATTTTAGTAACACTACACAATTCTACACGTCTCTTTAACTCACTATTAGAAAAAAAGAAAGTATTATTTGTATTTAAAAAGGCACATTTATTTCATAATTTTCAAGTCTTTATACAAGAGCAAACGCAACTTTCTTTTTCAAAGAATACCAGTACGCACGCAGACATGCTGATATGATATTGTATCATAAACACTAATTTAAGCAAAAGTACTATTTAAGTATGCTTTTATACATAAGAGTATGATTGAGTATGTTGCCTTTTTTCTACTAGCAATCTTCAACTGCATTTTGAAATTTTTGCTCTCTTTTAAATAAATAAGAAAATGAAAATTTAGTTTCCTATCGTATGTTATAGAAAATGTCCATTCTTTTTCGAAGATTCAGCATGAAGAACTATGCGAGGAAATATCATTAACTATTTTAACTCGTAGTTATAATTAAAACGTGATGGTCAATTTTTTTTTACGTAACAAATCCAATTTAAACCGTATATCTACAATGGTGCCGCTGGAGTATGCTTTCCTCGGTAAATTTTTAAAAACGCATTCAGGAATGATAAAAATTCGCATTTGTTTCAAATTACCTTTGTAAAACTTTTAGCAGATATAGAAGAACACCAAAACGAAGTATATCATAAACAGGTAGTCCACGGCTTACGACGACTTACTTTAACGACGATCAAAAACAAAGATTAAAAAATTCTCTTATTTAAATGTATCGCCAGCATACAAGGCGTGTTGTTTTTATATATGCAATGAATCATCCAAATGAGCAACAGTTACACACCTGCAACTTTTAAATAACGATATCATTTGCATATTTTTGTAGTTATATATGTTAACTAATTTAAAGAGAGAGAACAGTTACAAAATATATACGCATCTATATTAATGCAAATAAATGATTTATAAATGCTACTTTTATATATTCTTAAATCTACTTTATGTTCAATAAACGCGAATATTATTAAAGGTATAGATATAAAATCAGTTCCGATTTACGACGGGACCGGTAAAACGCCACTCGTAAATCGAGGACTACCTGTACAGAAAAATTTAGAATGCCATCTGAATACAGTTTTCAGTAACAAAAATTTTTTAAGAGTTAGAATTTAGCATAAGGTAATGAGAAAATTGTGGTTGCTCATGCCAAGCACGAGGTATTGTCAAATCAGTCATATGCTATCAGAAATATGCATCAGTATTCCACATCCACTGGAAGAAATTTTGCTCAGAAATTTTTGTTGGCCAACACTAATTTTAACCTGAAGCTGAACCGACTATCAAAGTGCAAGAAGTCTTATTTTCTGAGTGCTACAACAAACAAACATTTTCTTCATAGCCATAGAATTCCAAAGAATTTTCAGTGTTATGTTTCGTAAGAAATGAATTAAAATTCAGAATTAAATGTCAAACAATTTTTTCAAAACGTCATTTAATACAAAATACACTAAGAAAAACCGTGGAAAATATATTTTTACTGAGATTTCAGCAGTAAAACTTATTTTGCAGAAATTAAAAGGCAAACTTATAAAAAAAAAACGACCAAAACATTCAAATATAAAAAAATGATTGTAATCCTCGATGCTTAAATGCTAATACGAAAGAGTTTTGAATGATTTTAGAAAAATATTGACTTCCTAGAAAACGATGTGCAAAAGTTACCAATAGGAAAATCATTATTTTTGTTATTAGAAAACAACTTCCAAACTTCGCAGTTAACACAACGTAGTAATTATCCGAAAAATATTTGCAGTCTCCAACCAGACTCGTTTCTTAAAAGAAAAGCATCTTCTGTGGAACAATTAGTGAAACGCTGATAGATGACATCTTTCGCGAAATATCGATCACTAATGGAACGCGGGGGGGGGAGACGAAGACTCCGCTTTAATTAAGGAAGCGTGGCGCATAGGGATCCATAAATTAGCTCCAGTTTCCCGAACTCATCAGAGAAACGCGCTATCCAATTCGGAGCTGAAAATAAAACAGAAGAGAAAAGATTCGCTTTCTAAGCGGGTATGAATAGCGAGATAGCGCGCGAGCCATGTTTACGAGTCTCTTCTCACGTGTACTCTCATTTCTCTTTTGACAGCCGCCATCTTGGAAACGTAATGGCCGTTCGTCACGTCACTTGCCTTGTACTATGAGTCCACAGCACCTGAGCCCGACACCAAATTTAATTACGGAACATCGATTTCTCGTCCGGGAATCTTCGACGTCCAAGTGACGTCATTAGATGTCTTCCCTGCTGCCATCGATTTGGTGTTCCTTCTGGAAATTTCTTTTCATTCTGTGTATGCCAGCTGTAACATTGAACAAACTAGTTGTAGTATTATTGTAGAGAATTTTATTCTTATATAATTAAAGATTTACATGCCATAGAATTCAGAAGTTCATAACTAAGCTTTTAGTAAAATATTATTTATAGCGAAAATCCTGTAATTTTTGTTATTTTTCTCGTAATGTGTTCAGCAAGTCTAGCTATCGGGATCATTTCCGTTGTAGATTAAACAATTAGGCAGCGAATTTTTTCTAAACGTTAGAAATACGTCTTTTAGCTATTATAAACAATGAACTAAAATAGAAGGAAACACTTTAAAAACATTTTGTTGACAGTGCCTACTTTGAAAATAAAAACATTATAATAAGTTATAAAAGTAACACATTTAATTTAATGGTGGCCAGTCGGCAACAACGTCAGCTACAGTATGTTCATATGGATTTTCTTTTCATTATTCCAAAATCTCTATAAATGTTCACATAAATAAGAACTAAAGAAACTACGAATAACCTTTTTTTTTTCTCTGAAGCTATCAAGTATTGCTACAAAAAAAAAAAAAAAAAAAAAAAGTTTGGTATGTGTTGCCCTATAACGGAAAAGATCCCAGTACTATTTTGCAGCATAATATTTCACTTTGTCACAGTATTTCATTCAACGCAAAACAGTTTTCAGTGTAATATTTCACTTTGTCACAGTATTTCAAATCAACGCAAAACAGTTTTCAGTGTAATATTTCACTTTGTCACAGTATTTCATATCAACGCAAAACAGTTTTCAGTGTTAATGATTAGAAAATAAATTTATGAACCTAAGAAACTGTTTTGTGAATTTAGTTATAAAACTGAATTTCGGAAGCGTAACATCTTAAAAAAAAGTATTTTCAGGTTAAACACATTTACAACTTTTCATGCAATACTTATAAAGTAATGCATAATTAATAGTGCAAACGAACAAAAGCTGAGAAAAGCAATATGAAACTGAGAAAACCTATAACATCCTTCAGTGGTCTTCAAACTGCTGTCCACGGAACCCTGACTTTCCGTAATAATGTAATATAATGTAATACATGAGTGTGCTGCGACCCTCCTGGCCGATCATAATCGGCCTCACGGTTAAAGTAGCACACCCAACTCAAAAACAAAGATACAGTTAAAAGATTAAAACAGACATACAGTGAAAAAACATCAAACCAAAATTTCCAGTATTGTTCTATAAAGTTCATCAAATCCTGTGCAGATCTAACCTCTTTATTGCGGCAGAAGAATTCCTTTATGTTACCCTGTTTTTCTCTAACATATCGCAATAACACGCAGTCTTCGACGAAAAGTCATGCATTGCCTTCAGCACTACAAAAACTGTAAAGACTATTATTTTGTAAATTAAATATTTTCAAGGTACGCCGGGAAGCGACCGTGTCTAGTAATTATTTGATTGCAATCAAAATCATATATCATTCTCATAAATTAAATAAATTGTAAAGTTCAAAGTTCAACAAATAATCTTTCCGTCATCCCGAAATGTTTCGTTTCTCTTTCCAAACAAATAGAATAGAAATTCTTGATTTACCAATAACAATTCTTTTCTATGCTTTAATATCGAACGCATCCCCAGCATAACCCATAGCAATCTCTTTGGCCAGCTTGTCGGTCCTCTCATTGCCTGCAACACCAATATGGGCTTTCACCCAGTTCATTTTCATTTAATGTATTTTCTCAACTTTTACAGGAGATAAAAGTTTTACAACTTTTAAATATGGGACCAAAATATTGGTGTTATCAGCATTTGCTAGTGCTTCCAAACCAGATAATGAGTCTGTATATTAATATATGTGCTCACAATCAAGTGTTCATCAATCCATTTAACAGCAAATTTAATAGCAGGCAATTCGGCTTGAAAAACCGAACTGTATGGTTTAAGTCTAATTTTGTCATAGTAAAAGGTCATATTGGAAAGTATAGTTAAATTGGGAATATTAATATAATGAATTATTATTAATATTGATATTTTAATTAATTAGTTATAATAATTGGGTATAATCCTAGGGTGCCATGAGTCAAAATAAAAATTCAGAAAGAAAATTATAAATCACTCACAATAGTTCACTACTGTTTATTAACTAAAAAGATATAGATTTTAACTTAGTTAGTTATAGATTAGTTTGAAGACTTAATATGTGGTCAAAGAGATGCAGTGCTTTACAAAACTAAACAGTGTTGAACTGTGAAACTAAACAGACTAATGGAAAATGATTTGAATTTAAAAGACGGTGTAGAAATTATACAACGGAGCCCCCTTTTTCAATTGAAGAAAACTATAAGAGAATATTTCCCAGAAGGAAAAATGTAAACATGATTTTGAAAAAAAAAAAAAAAAATCCAGTCCAGTACTACAATAAATCAGAATGCTTGCCAGTGGAGCAAAGCGAACAACTTAAAGACATATCAAGAAATTCAACGTTAAAATCTAAATTGAATTAAGAACAGCTCGTAAATTTCTGGTTGTAGATTCATTCAGAATACCTAAAAATTTTTCAACGTATGTGGCAACAAAAACAAATTACAGAAACATATACAGAATATGCAATGCGACTCCAGACAAAGTTAAATTACGACAGCTTGTGTAAAAAAAAGCAAGAACACTCCTGCCACTAAAATAATACAAGCGTAGGTGAGACCTAGAGCAGTAGTTAACGCTATTAATGAATAAATTACATTTTTATGTTAAAAATTTTTAATAAAATGTGCGAGTTTTCTTTAATTGCCTTAATTAATAAAGTACCTGTAACATATTAATCGACTTTAAATTCAGATAAATTAATTAAATTCAGATATATTTTTCTAAGGGTGGGATGAGGTTCTCCGAAAAACCTAAGGATTCCGTCAGTCGACAAAGTTTGAAGACTACTGATATAATTAATTGAGACATCTAATCTGTCTGTGATTTATTTTGATAGAAACTGTAACATACATATAATATTGCTTTCATAAAAAAAATATTTTTTTAATATGTTAGAAGCTGCAAAAGTCGATGCCAAAGGAAAAAACTCTTGAACTTTGTTCTCACATTTTATAATATAATAATAATAAGATAAATTATATTATTACATTTTTATAAGATAAATTATCACGTTATTTAAATTTGCCTTAAAAATTAATTTCAAACAGTTATATGATCTCATTAATTTTTCGATGTATCTAATTTAAGAAACTTTGCTTGAATATATATCCATAGCGGATTACAAAAATTACACAAATATATATATTTGTTTAATACAGACTACTAAGTGTTCATATTCATATATTATATATTAGTATGTGCCATTCATTCATGTAATATCATATATTTGTTTAATTAAGAATGTGTTCTTATTTGTATAGCAATAAATCATGTAATATATTATTTCACACAGCCTTAGCCGTGTCGTATTCGTTCATGTAATATTATGTGTTTTTTAATTCCCATTAGCCATATGCTTACCGTATTTACTCGCTCAATGGTCGCACTTGTTTTGCCACTTTTTCATTGTGAAAGTCTTGGGGCGACTATTATGCGGGGAAATCTAGTACACAATATTGTACACTTTTGGCGATTTTTTCCGCTTCAAAATGGGGTTGCGACAATTACACGAGTAAACACGGTATATTGGTATATTATATGTATCTCATTCATTCATGTAATATTTTCATAGGAAAGGTTTTGTGTACTGTAACTACTTAACTACATATGCCCGTGAATTTTTACGGCACTCTTTTGTATTATTGTTGCAAATGAAAGAAACTGTGATTTATTAAAAGTATCTTTTCTCATTGAATCTACCCCGATTTTAATTCCAGTTTTTCTATGAGTCTAAAATTATACCACACAAACTTAAGTCATTCTTGTTACCAAAAATCGATAATAGTCGCAAGTATGATTAGTATGATTATAAGCATGATTAGAAACCATGTTGAGAAAATGCAACTTAAGTGCTTCCCATAAAGGTAACCCCAAAGCTATAGCTTTATTGCAGATTTTATAGCCCCCTATGGGCCTTTCCCCATTTTGCTGACCAGTAGCCATAGCCTTCAATTGATAAGAAAGGGCTATTTAGAAGGGTAGCCTATCAGGGAGGCGGGTCAGGTGATGACACTTGCCTCACCCCCTATTCTTCACACTAAATGTCTTATTTCCCGAATCTGTCATTGAAGGCATCCGCCATCTTGAACGTTTGGTGATGTCCAACATTGACACCAGACATTATATGTTAGAATTTTGAAACTTTAACAGGTATCGGATTTTATATTTTACCTCCAAACTAATTATTTTTTCAAATTATGCAAATTTAATTCTCTAAAAATCTTTTTTAAATATTATGTATAGATTTAATTTGTGCTGCATAAAATGTGTTGTTACTTAATGATCATATAAGAATTAAAACTAATTTCATTAAGATTTAATAAAAATTTAATAACTGAGTAGCTTTAAAAAAATTTTGGCTAATATAATAACGATAGTTATATAATTTTTAAAGCTGTATTAACTGAAAATAAAGTAAAAATGACAAAATAAATAAAATTTAAATATTATTTAATAAATATAAGATTGATATAATGTATCTTATGAAAGAACATTAATTTTTTACATATTTATACCGGAATCTAACGCTTCAACTTAACTAAAGATACCATATGATCAGAATAATTTTTCTCTATTTTGTATATCGACATACACAGCTTTATCAGGAGTACATCATAAGGAAACGACTATGGATATTATGGAGGTAAGTTTTTTTAACTTACTTTTTCGTCATGTAATTTTGAACATTTACCAATTATAAACACCTATACAGACATACTTGATTTATATATTGTATATTTATTATTTGGACATATTATTGTGCATATAATGTTTACACGAGACACGCCTCATTTATACATTCGTATTTATAACATATTTTACATATATTATTGTACATAGTGTTGGCGCAAGAACTACAATATACATAATTTTTTGTGCGAGCAAATAATATTGTTTTTATCTACAATTTATGAATGCATATAGATAACAAACAGCATTACAATGAATACAGAAATAAATACAGGACTAAATTCATGTTAACTCAGTAGAGCTGCTCATGAAACATTCGTCATTGTTTTATGAAATAAATAACGTACGTTTTCCCTCCTAAAATTCCAGCATATAATCGAGTTGTTTCTTAGCAATCTTTTAATGCAATATAAACAATTTTAGCGATTTAAACATGCGGCCTTTGTAAGTTTGTTCGAAACAGTCTTGTTTGCAATAAAACTGATTAAAAAAAAAAAAAAAAAGCGTGAATAGGAGATGAACTGTGCTCCGCTATAGTTATTACATAAAAATTTTTAACAATTAAAAAACTTATAAAACTGTAAATATGTACCCATGTTTTCTGCAAACATATAAAATTAAATTTCTGGTTAGTTCATAAATTTATATCAATATTTTTGAAAAAGGTATTATTTTATTTTAAAGCAATATAATTAATTTTTCTGTCACTGATTATTCAGCAATACTTTCTGTATGACATACCTTGTTTTTACAATTTAAGGCGATGGTTTTGACTATTTTAAAAGTGAATTCTATTGTCTTAAGAAACACTTCTTTCATTTTTATTGCACATGCCCTCAAAAATCATAAAACATAATGGTAATCCGCTTATTTTCGTATTGTATTTCTTTTTATTCATTCTTTACAATTTTGCATTTAAATAATTAAATTAAACTATCCAAGACATCATAAATTTTAAAAGTGCAATTTTTTAAAAAATTTTATTGCATATTTTATAAACGTTCTAAAAACGAACGGCTGTCTGCAAAACAATCCCAATAGTCATCGAATTGCTCTAGCCGTTTTCTGTCGTTTTTTTCATCATGGTTCTTAAATGGAATACAAACCCCTAAGAATGCAGTGTTTTCCAAGCTGAATTACTCTGCATTAATGAATCAATCGAGTGAAATATGTGATCATTGTTCGTTAAGTGGTAACTTTCTCATTTGCTCTGATTCTCTGTTATCTTTAGATTCTCTTATGAATATTTTCTCCTGTAATAATATAATTGTCACTTCTTACGCGATTCTTAAAGACTTTGATAACAAAGGTGTTAATGTCATCTTTTCTCCTGTACGTGGCCACACTGACAATCTTGGAAATGAAAGGGCCGATTGCTTGGCAAAACAAGCTACAAATCTTCAAGTTGTCACCCCAGTAACACTGCCTAACTCATTCTTCAAGAAACAAAGTTGAAATGAATTGTACAGAAATTCTTCTGCTGCATCTTTGATTAAATTATTTTATTCTTCTATTACTCATAGACTGAATAATAAATATTGTTCTGCAATTTTGAAATTACAAAGTTTTTTTAACCGTGCATGGTAGTTTCAACTCATATCTGAAAAGATCTGGGCTATCTGATCTGTATTCCTGTAGCTTAGGGGGAGTACAAAAATGTCAGACTAGAACATTTGTTGTTCTACTGTTCATAGCTTACGGAAGGAAGGAAAAAAAACTCATTTTTCAGTTAAACTCTTTAAATATTAAGTTTTCTTCTCCATGCGTTTGTTCAACTGTTCTTTTCTGTACATTTATTTCTTGCGTTTCACCTGCGAATTTGCAATGGTATTTTATTTTGTGTTGTGTTGTTGTAGTAGTTTGTTTTTTACTTACATCTGTAAGCCTTGTGTAATACTGTGCGATGTACAAGGAGTTTATATATTCCTAAAAAAATTAATTAATAAAAATACCTCGATATTGGGAATCGTAACTATACTTCACAATTTCTATGTTTAAATGTTCATAGTGATATGACTGATACTTCGCAACTGATCAAAGCCTTACAATAATTAATCTTCTTTATACTTTTCTGAATGCTTATAACATATTATATCGAGATGTTGTTATAAACAATTAACATGCATGTTGGCTTTTTAACTTTCGCAAAATTATTCTCTCTTTCAGTTCGGTGATTATTGCTTGAAAAACTATTAACTTAATATAACATAGATCAAATTTCATCATAAACTAATTCTGTATTTTCAAAAACACTCACCTTCCATATGTATTACAAAATGAATGCAAAATACGTAAAATATCTTTTTGATGCATGAAAAATATTTCGCAGTAAATTTAAAGCGTGCTATAGCATGCATTAAAATGTGTTATATCTTTATAGCTCGTTTCGACGACATCTCGTGTTCTATAGTAAGGGACGTTACGACGAGAGGTAGCTATAGGGAAGGTGAATTTAATATACTTTCATTAGCTGAGTACTTTTTATGTTGGTCATTGTAATGGAAAGGTCGCTATAACGAGTGATTATCACAAGAAGCGTTAGATTTATGTATTTAAACGGAATTGCTTGTAAGCTTTGTT